TGTCACGTTATCTGTGCATAGACTGCGAAGCACTTACCACGACTTCTATTACGAGACTCGCAGCTACAGTTTAATGGTCAACGTAATCTGCTTGAGCAGGAAATCGGAACTAAACTCAAAACTTCGTGGCCAATGATGATATCACTAGTGCCATACGGTCGTCGGTCATTTGTACTGAAACCTAGCGCAATCGGTAGCAGTCTGAAGTACATCAGCAGTCGACCATTAACTTCATCTGACTCTTAATCTAGGCAGATAATACTAAAACTAGAAAACGGATGACGGGAAGCTAATTCCGAATATTTCTGCGGTAGTTTGGATCTAAATCGACCTATTTTTGTGCATGGGTATGGGGAGCTCAAATGGTTCGTCCTGCTCAGCGTTGGGCAACTTATTTAGCTAGAACTTAGGTGAAGGGGCAACCTGAAAGCTAGTGCTATCCCTCCTCACTTTCGCATGTTTGGCCACCCGTGTTCAGAGCAATCCTTCAGTTTCTCCGATGTTTGTCAATTAGTAGTGTTCGAAGACGGGTAGCCCAATTCGCTAGCTTAATCTGCTGACCTCTCCGTGGACCTGTCTTCTTTTTTATGATACGCTATATGCGATAGGCTGTTCCTTTGTTATAAAACGCAAATCAGTAGGTGGTAGGACCAATTGATGTCGGGCGAGCTAAAAGTTTTGAGCTCTGATCTGTAATGAGAAACTGAGCAGGGTTATTCGTTTGCAGCTTAAAACCAATTTACTACAGCTTGTGTATGGCGTGCCTCTAGCTTTGTTAGATTCGCACAAATACTATAGTTTAACAAACAAAGTTCGACATATTGTGATCCAAAAGCACGACCCACGCTTTCAAAGTGTACTTCAATGCCCTCAGCAATCAAACCATAGCCAACAAAGATGGATATCGAGGACGATGGTTCAGGAATTGCACTTTATGTTGCGATAGAACGCAACGAGGTCGAAAACCCATCCGCCTCGTTTCCTCTCTTATACTCCTTGTTCGTATTAGTTCCTGAGAAAGAAACCTTGAGCATTTTTGACTAGACTGACAGAGGTTAGTTTATACGATACTTGCACGTTATTCGTCCTTCTAAATTGGAGACAGGGGTGCATTATACGCATCGGAAGACAACCCAGACGGTCTTTGAAGTAGAGAACCGCCTCAATTCATTCCCACCAACTCCGTTTAGATGGGAGTCAAACCCTCCGGACCGCGTCGTCCGGGCATATGGATAAGGATGATTAGTGTTTTCTGAAATGGTCAGTTGTAACGACACACTAGGTAATCAACCTGTATACAGTCTTATTTAAATCGGGCTTTTTGTGGAGGTACATTATGATGGTGAGTGTCTGAAGCCCCTAATAGTTAGATGGAAATAATTGTACGCAGGCTTTTTACACGTTTGCCTTTTATGTTAGCCGAGACGGCAACTGGCTCGGATTGACTCAGTTCTCTTAAACAACGTTGACACAAACGATTGTTACTAAAATTTTGATCATTGGGTGAGCAACTAATTACACTGTAATAAGCCGCTTTTGCAAGCGAATAAACCCACTGAGAAGTAAATGTTTTCGCTGGGGGGCGAGAACTTTATTCGCCTGAAGGCTCAAATCCCTTCTCTCGTCAAAGACAGTAACCCGTTTCTGCTACTGCATCTGACAAGGGGTTCGAGAAGGAATCCGAAACGGTAGGCGAATAAAGTTCTTGTCCCAGCGATCACCTCTACTGCTCAATTTTTGTCTATGACTTGCATTTTCGCTTGGACTGGGAATAAACCCATACAAAACAACATAAGCGGGGATTATAACGCATCTGTAACGCGAGAGAGAGTGGAACTTTGAAGCCAAAGTGTAAGTGTTAATACGTCTGAACCGCGGGGTTCGGTCATCTAACATATTAAACGTAAAGCTTATTTTCCCTGGTGAAAATTTGAAGATTGTATAAACAGTAAAATGTAATGGATCCATCAATTTCGAGAAACCTCTTCATACGGCGGTTTAAACCCGACCTATGTAAACAATTGGAGCATGTGGTGAACCTAACTCTACCTTGGTAACACTGGCTCCCTGTTTACACACTCCCCTCCCTATTTTATTTTTGCCTTTGACGTTTTCTTTCACCAGTTTTTGCTGCTTACAGCGTTCAAAGTTCCTACTTTATCGATTGCCTCTTGGTCATTTACAGTGACCTTGCCGTTTTGCATCGATTTTTTCTGCATGAATTCTGTATGAATTTAATTTTCA